AAGCCTATTCGAAAAATCAGTTATTTCCCACAGACTAGAAGGTCATTCTGTTTATAAAGGACTGACTGATTTACGAGTACAGTATATACTTTAAAAAATTTGACGCAGGTCGCTGTACAAAGAGACGGCGCCACCAAATCTGCTAAAGCAACTGATTCAGCGATTTTTTTACCCGTAAAAATGCAGGAAAAACGGAATCAGCATCAACGATCAAGGGCAATGAAATATGGATTTAGCCGAAGCAAAGAAAGATAACTCACCGCAACTGCACATAGTTGCCAGGAAAAAGAGCGTCAACAGCATTTTTGTCTTTCAGCAGCCGGCCCTTCCACCATTCACCATCGCTCTGATCAACCACGATTATGATGTCGCCGGTTTTAAATGACAATTCATCATCCCGCTGCGCCTGATAATCATACAAAGCTTCTGCTTGCAGCTCACGCCCACCAACCATTTCTACATAATCTCCAGGAAACCACCCAGTTTTCTTCGCGCCCGTTTCCAGAACAACCTGCATAGATGATGGGTTAACACAGCAGTTATAATCATAAACATAACAAAAACAAGAGAAATGCACAGAGGATGTACAGTACAACATACCTCGCCTTGCCACCAGCCAGAGGGTGATTTGCTCCGCACCTTCACAACATCACCAATTCTCAATGACAACTGATTTCCAGTAGTGGCTTCGAAATCAGCAACGGCTTTGCCGGTTCCCAGGTCTCCCAGACCTTCTGAATTTTATGAGTTAAACAACGGTGCGAAGAGACAGGTCAGAGCAAAAGAAGCATAATGTTTGAGAGACTTATCTTGTTTCAAAGCAATTTTAACAAGCCCACAGTTGCTTAAACTTGCTTCGTGCATTAAAGTCCTCATATGTTTTCGCATCCATGGTTTACTGGTGACTGGGCCGGATAAATAAAAACTACGCTCGAAACAAAATCAAAAAACGATAAACAGCGGTGTCACGAACCTAACCAAACACCTACAATTTCGAATATTACAGAAGATGCAAACCGGATAAAACCCTGTATGTCGGGCTGAACAACTCAGGAAGAGGCAAATCAAATGAACTGATCTTTTTTTTTTTTTTAAACAGTGCAGAGCAAAAGGACACCTGACAGTGCCGAATCCCCCGTCAGTGGACATTTCTGAACATAGTTTGCAGGGAATATTCCCGTTCTTCCATTACAC